TTTTAAAGTCTGCGACTCCAACAAAGACGGAAAGAACGGCAACGTTATTTTTATTTCGATATAATTTCCAAATCTTGTTGTAAACAGCTATTACTATTTGTTTTTAAATATTTTGTGGAAAGTTTTTATTTTACAATAAAACATTTATAAGAAAGAAAGCTTATAGACTTATTATTTTGCTAATAATGATATGTTTGAAAGTACCCCTCTAGGTGGTCGAATGTACCCCACTGGTGGGGTGCATTCGACCACTTTGAGGCTTACTTTTGAAACAGTGGTAGATTTAACAAAAATTAATATTTTATATACTTTATCTTTTTAATTTGTTGGTTTAAGACCATTACTTGTAATGATACAAAAATTTAAATGTTTTTAGTAAAAAATCATTTGTAAATTGAAACCAGCTAAGTGGTCAAATGTTCCCCATCTTCCCCTACTAAAAAAAATCGCGAAAAAATTGTAAATCAAAAAAAAAAAAAAAAATTTGTTACATTCTTATCTACTTTTTTCCTTGACTTGAATCAATTTTGGTAGTAGAAAATAACAAATGCCCTAAAAATAAGAAAACAAAAAGATTAAAATATTTAGATAATTTATATTATTGACAACAAATTTCTTTTTTTAATGATAATTTTTTTTTACCTTATTTTATTTCATTTTTCTATTTTGTATAGTCTTTGGTACTTTCCTTCGAGTATTGCTGTTTTATACTCTAGTTTCTTATAGCTTTTTTTTGCCGCGAATTCTTACTGTAACACTTACTATATAAAAATGTTTCTTACTAAAATGCTTACTATATAAAAATGTGGTCAAATTGTATAAAAAAATTATTTTAAGCGTGGAGGACAAGGCGAACGCACACGCTTCCCGGGATAGCTTGATATATATATATATATATATATATATATATATATATATATATATATATATATATATATATATATATATATATATATAATACATATATATATATATATATATATATATATATATATATATATATATATATATATATATATATATATATATATATATATATATATATATATATATATATATATGTAGAGATATATGTAGAGATACATGTACTAGTAACCAAATAAGAAAATTGGAACATTTTTTTGTGTTCACAGTTACAGTTTAATTGAAAAAAAAAAAGACTAAATATACACTAGTCTATTTTAAAAATAGATTTTGTCATGAATTTATTTTACATGTCCAATTAATAGATACCACTCATTGTGGATCAATAAAGCTGATGTAGAATAAACATATAAAAAAACCAACATAATTTTTTTTTTAGTTTTTTAGGTTAGGGTGAAATAAGTATTTAGATTTGGTAAAAAAAAGGTAACTTGGCATATTCATATTGTATTTGATTAAAAAATTTCTTAAATACTTGTATTTGTATTTGATTGAAATATATTTTCAATTTTTTTTTTGGGAAATAGTAATAGGTTCTTTTTTTCATATTAAACACTAAAATAAATTTAAAGTTTGTTTTTATGTTATTTGTTAGCAGGGTTGGGGCCATATACATTTTGATCAAATACAAATATGCTAATTCTAGATATCTAAAATTTCAATAAACAAATTCAAATACAAATATATGCAATCAGCATTTTCAAAATAAAAATACTTGTACTTTAGTTTTAGAAAAAATAAAAATTTTTTTTTAGACAAGACAGATAAAATGGTCTACTAAACAGAAGAATGAAACAATTCTTTAACAAATAACCTTTGTAAATAACTTTTTAATTTATTTAAGTGCTAAAAATGAAAAAAAAAAAAACAATGAACCTCTTGGTATTTTGCACACACAAAAAAAAAAAACACTGGTTAGCCAAGTTTATGAAATTTCGAATAAGTAAACAAGTACAAATATTTAAGAAATTTTTTTATTAAATACAACACAAATAAAAATACACCAAATTAGCCGATTTTTACCAAATACAAATACAAACTTGTATTTGGTAAAAATAGGCTAATTTGGCGTATTAAGTTGGTTATGTTTGTATTTGGAAAATACTGCCATATTTGTATTTGAATTTGTATTTGGAAACCTAGAATTAACATATTTGCATTTGTATTAGATCAAATGTATTAGACCTCAACCCTTATTGTGGAATATTATTTTAAGTTTAATGATTGATAATATTTAATATTTAAAAAATCAAATCGTGATATCAAAAAAATGTAAACATTGTATTATGATAATAAATTTTTCAAGTGTTAACACAACATAATAAAAATTAAAAAAGCAATATTTCAAGAAATGACTCTATATTTATACTAAGTGCTAAGTTATACTATCATCAATTTGTGATATTGATAATGTAGGAATATCATTATATTAAACTATTATTAGATAACCACTATCAATATGTTAAACTAGTATTAAATTACATATAACATGGTTGGTTCAAGTGTTAAACAAGTTTAAAAAACGTGTATTTTTTTTTAATTTAAGAGGTTTTGTATAGAAGAATCACTTAAATACCTATAAAATTCTACTTTGTTAGTAATTTGCTCCCCAGTTTCTTTACCACCAATTGCAAACAATAAGCCTACTGTTGAATATCGAGGTATGGTTCGTTTGGATCGAAAAATAGCTCTCAATTTTGGATACAAATGATAATTTTTTGCCTCATCTAACAAATCTCTACAACTTATTTCAGATTTTATGAGCTCTTCATTAATTATATGTTGCATTATAAATTTTTTTGATAACAAAGGCAGTTTTACTTCATTAAGTAAAGCAAAAAATTGATTGCGCCTTTGATTAAGATCAAATTTAACCCATTTTATGACCGCATTGTAAACATCTTGTTCTAAAACTACATTTAATTTATGACTGGAAATAAGACTTTTAAGCACAGGAAATGGTAAGTTTTTAAATTCATCTGAATTAATAACATCTTTAAAGTTATTTTCCATAAATATATCAATCTTTGAAGCAAAAGATATACAGTTATAAAGAGTTGCAAAGCTGCGAATGTTAATACAATTCATGGTATCCAATTGTTGCTCAAGAAAGTTACAACATATATCACAAACCTGAATAAACTGTAATTGCGTAGCTAGACGCAGAATGTCTTCAACATTTTGAGAATGTATTTCTATTTCACCATCATACGCAAAATCTAATAATTGTTTTAGAATATTTGCTTTAACATCATTTAATACAACCGTTGACTGGCTACTTTCTTTCAGTTCTCCAGCAAACATTGCATAAAAATATTGACTGCATGCAGCAAGAACTGAACGGTGTACTGGAAATACCTGCTCTTCAACTTGTAATACCAAATCACACAGTTTAATAGCGTCCTCTCTATATCTTTTTAAGGTTTTTAAAACCATAACACTGTGGTTAGATATATTTTTTAATTGCTTTTCCATTCATTAAATTAAATTAGATACAATAGAATTCAAAAGTTTATTTAGTGTGGTCTATTTTAACAGAAGGAAAATTTATGTTATTATCCTGGTGTAATATTGTTGAATGCTTTATTGTTATTATTATTATTGACTTCGTATTACTATTATTATCTGATTTAACGACAAATATTAGGTATCTTTAAATTTTACATTCCAATATTATGTCTTTAAAGGTGGTTTTTCACGATACGAAAACGGGTAAAATCAGTCAAGATGGTTTTAAAGTAGCGGTGTGTCAAAACTGACCTAAAAGCAATTTTAAAGTAGGGATGTATCAAAAAGCAATTTTAAAGTAGGGATGTATCAAAAATGACATAAAAGCGCATATATATATATATATATATATATATATATATATATATATATATATATATATATATATATATATATATATATATATATATATATATATATATATATATATATATATATATATATATATATATATATATATATATATATATATATATATATATATATATATATATATATATTATAGGTTATAAGTATATTCTTTCACTTTCAATCTTAAAAGTAAAAAGTTACATAAAAGAAATTCTTGTTCCGACCGAAATTCGTGCCGGAATTTTATTAACAATTCCGGCAAATTCAGTTCCGGCCGGAATTCAAAAATTACTTTTCGGTACACCCCTATTTTAAAGAGAGATGGAAATATGATGAAGCATTACGCAGAGCAGAAAGGGTTGTATCAAACAGAACGTCATTTTACACTTATATACTTATAATAATTGCACTTATATACTTTAACGTTTTAACAATAACAAGAAGTAATACAAAATGTAAAAAAAAAATTATAAAAAAAAGCATTCACATCTAAAGATATATCAATTTGACAAAGGAGCAGGTTTTGCTTTATTATACGAAAATAAAACAAAAGATAAATTAGAAGAACAAATAAAAAATAGTAAAGTTATTGATTACAACCCAACACCCACATTCACTACTAAATTTCAAAAACTGTTATGTAAATTAAGAAAACAGGATAAGTTAGACAATTCCACTTATTTTAAAATGTATCTATCAGATTGTGTCTCACCTAGAATCTACGAAATGGTTAAAGCTCACAAACCAGAAAAAAACTACCCAATGCGTCCTGTTGTTTCCACTATTAACACATCACCTTATAGAACATCAGAGTATCTGGTTAAAATTATTTAACCAACATTAAATAAAAATAAAACTCGACTAATTAATTCAAGTAGTTTTGTCAACGATGCTAAAGAATGGAAGATAGGCCCTCGTGAAATTCAAGTTTCATTTGATGTGGTGAATTTATATCTATCTGTACCGATCAATGAAGCAAAACTTCTATTGTTAACATATATTAACGATGATGTGGAGGATTTAAAAACTAGGACTAAATTAACTCTTTTAGATATATACCAGTTAATTAAACATTCATTAAGCAAATGCTATTTTTTTATACAAAGATAAAATCTTAATTTTACCTAATTCAGGTTGAATTGTTTTATCGTTTAAAGTCTAGCTGAAGCATTTTTGAAAAATATAGAAAAAAGAGCCCTTAATATAGCCTTTGTTAATTCATTCCAACCAATAACTTACAAAAGATATGTAGACGATACCCATACTCGCTTCGATTCGAAAGAAAAACAATACTGTTTCTTAAAACTTTAAATGAACAAAACCCCTCCATAAAATATACTGTTAAACTTGAGGTGAGTTTCCACTTATCCATTTTTCTACGGGAACGGGAAAAGTAATCACGTGAGCATGAGTAGTTTTACTTCAGGCAAATTAAACCTTATAATACGCATACCAACGTGACTATTTTTCCCTTCCCTTTCCCGTTCCCATGAAATAACGAATAAGTTGAAATTCACCTTTGAAAACAAAAGAAAACAACTAAACTTTTTAGATATTTCTATTACAAATACAATGAACGGATTTTATGAATTTCAAATACACCGAAAAGATGCGCTAATCAATGTTCAAATAAAACTAAACTCTAACATCAACCCAAGCATAATCACTGGCGTCTTTAAAAGATTTCTATGTAAAGCAAAAAAAAATCTGCTCTTAAAAACATCTCTCACGAGAAATTGATTTTCTCATACATACATTCTTTCAAAACGGTTATAACAAAAGTTATCTTATTAAAATAACCAACTATTTAGACCACGTTTCAAAAAGTACCACGTCTAAACAATTAGATAAGCAATTTCTTAAACTACCTTGATAAGTTTTTATATATACACAGTGGTTTTTTAATGGTTTTTTAATGTTAAAAATAACCAACTTATAAACAAGGTTTTTTAATGTTATTTTACGCTTTTTAATGTCTTTTTAAACGGTTGGTTTTGTAACGTTTTTTCATTACCTGATGTGATTGGTTTTATATTATTTTGTAAGGTTTTTTCTTACCTATCAGCGTGACTACAATAGGTAAGCAAAATATCGTTAATGTATTGTTATATCAAAATATATTTAAAAAATAGTTATACGCTGTCTTTAATATATATATATATATATATATATATATATATATATATATATATATATATATATATATATATATATATATATATATATATATATATATATATATATATATATATATATATATATATATATATATATATATATATATATATATATATATAAATTTTAATAAAAATCACAATATTTTTTATTCTTGACATGTTTTGTAGTCTTACTACATTTTCAAAAGATTTAATTTACAATTCAAACTCTGATAATATATATATATATATATATATATATATATATATATATATATATATATATATATATATATATATATATATATATATATATATATATATATATATATATATATAAATATATATATATATATATATATATATATATATATATATATATATATATATATATATATATATATAAATATATATATATATATATATATATATATATATATATACACAGTGGTTTTTTAATGTTAAAAATAACCAACTTATAAACAACAAGAATATTTCAAATATTTTTACGTTCATATGTATTTTTACATTCATACGATGATTCTTTAAAAAAAAAAATTACTATGATAGGAGAATGGGAACAAGAAACCCTAAAATCTTGACCCCTCTTGCTCCAAACGTGAGAGCAATAAATTGATGAAATATTTTTTGTACTATTTTCAATTAGACTTATATTCATCAAGAAATTTTAAATTTCATAGTAAAGTATTTTAGTATTCAAAAATTATGACTATATAATGTTTGCAACTCCCTCAAATTGAGGGGGGTTTAAACTTTACATGGTCATATTTTTTGAACACTAAAACATTTTACAATGAAATTTAAAATCTCTTGATGAATATAAGCCTAGTTGAAAATAGTACAAAATATATTTCATCAACTTGTTACTCTCACGTTTGGGGCAGGGGGAGCTAAAATTTTGGGCTTTTTTTGTTCCCAGGCTCCAATCATCGCAATTTTTTGCAAAGCATCCTTATTGACATAAGTATAAAAGTATAAATGTTTGGAGCTTGCTCCGTGTCTGGAAGTTAGATATCTTGTAGATATCTTGTCAACACATGTGTCAACACATCCCAAGGAGCTGGACTCTAAGAGAACAAGCAGTAAAAGCCTTCTATGCTCCACATGGTGAAAATAAGGCAGATTGTTTTTTTTTTTAAATGCGGGCCTTAACTCATTTGTTTTACCACACATATTTGAACCATTGTCATAACCTTGTGAACGACAATCATGAAGTGGTATGTTGTGTCTTTCTAGAGTGGCAAGTATTTCTTCTGTTATTTTTTCTCCTGTTTTTCCGTTAAAGTTCATAAATTCTATGAAACGCTTATTTACTTCAAATACCTTAATGCCCATATTTTGAGATACATATCTTAAAATAAGAACATTTTGTTTGATGTGTGAAACATCCAGAGTTGCCTTAACTATCAACCCATAAAAGATTGCTTTGATCTAAAATAGTTTGGAGAACTTTGTCTGAACATAACTTGATGAATTCATTTTGAGAGTACCAAGACAAATAATGTGGTTTTTCCTTTATACTTTTTGATTCTAACTGAATTTGTTGTACTTTGGCAAGATGTTACTGTGTCACTTCATCATAAACTTGAATCAATTCTAAGATCTCTAAGATATCGCAATTATGAACATCCCCAAGTTGTGCTCCTCAAAATGCTAAACCTCTAAATGATAAAAATAATGTGACATCTATAATCCGTTTCAGGATTGATTTCCACTTATTTCTCTCACATTGTATATGGAGCTATAGCTGTTTGAATATTCCATTTCCTTTAATTGACTCCAAAAGGACTTTCCAAGCCAAATATTATTTTTGATGTTCAGTCCTGAAATACACGTCCGCCCTTATTTTTTACTTTGTTTGGTCACAAAATAAGCAAGTATCTTATTTAGAATATCCAAATTACAAGTTACACCTAATGATTAAAAACAAAATTTTTCTGCTTTGTCAAAACTTAATGCTATGAGCAGAAATAAGGGAAGAAATATACAAATCCTGCTCATCCTTTAATTTCAAGTTTTTGAAATATGATATTACCTTTTTTCTATCATCTTCTGTTGTAACTTCAAAATACTTTAGATTAACTCAACTACATGGTATTCCTGTAATATAATTTAATAATCTTAGATCTCAAGCAAACTCTCTTTTCCTCACTTCACGCGACATAAGATTTATTTTACCATTGGTTTAGCTTTAAATAACTGGGACAAGAGCTTTTTTTACAAAGTAAAATTGAACAGCAGTGATTGTTTCAAAGTTCGAAGACTTTAATCTAAATTTGATAAATTTAAACACTGATAACCACGTAAAAAGTTTTATAAATACTCTTTCTCAATTTAGTGCTTACCCCATGATTAACAAGCCGAGGCGTGTAACTCGAAAAACATCATCTATTATTTACAATATTATCACTAATAATTATAGTAACTCGACAATCAACAGTGGTATAATAAAAAACGGATATTAGTGACCATTTTCCTGTTTTTTTTAAACAATAAATACTAAATGCTGTATGAATAAAAAACTCATAACAGTATACATAAGGCATGTAAACAAAGACTCAATTACAATTTTTAGACAGCTTTTGCGTGAAATCAATTGGGAGCTTTTGAATGATTGCAATGACACATGTAGCGCATACGATTTCTTTATCCGCGTCTTTACAAGGCAATATGATAAAGCTTTTCCTAAGGTTCGAAAAAATATAAAATCCAAAAGTTTGCATACCTCTATTCTGGTC